TGTTGGTCACTGTTCTCCGAAGCCTTTCAATTGAAGGTAATATCTGTCCTGGCCAGGTTCAACTTCTTCTGAGGGTGGCGGTAGCCAACAGCAACAACAACAGCAGCAGAATGGTCGGAAGCGGGGTCGACCTCGGAACGACAAGGCAGGTGAAAGACAACGGGATAATAAGAGGAAGAAACCTAGTGCGAAGAGCTCTGACGCAGGGGGTGAGATACATGGGAGATTGATAACGGATAAGACAGGATTGATTTTAGTAGCTGTGGTAGTAGAGGGACTGTCGCATGCAGTGTTGGAGTAGGAATATATGTTCACCTTCCTCAGCTCAGCTCAAGAGTCTCCTCACTAATGATACAAGTTTATTTACGATTTCTGGCAAAAATGTACAGAAACCTCCGAAAAATTCCCCAAAATTCCCTCAGAAATTCCCTACTGTTACCAGCACATGTAGTTGAGTATGTGCAAATTTTTCCCCTGCACTGGTCACATGTCTCGCTTGAAGTGAGGGCTGCCTTACTAACCTTGTGGCAAATTGATTCATTTGCTCTGAGTGCAATGAAATTGGTGATGATCGTCTCTTAGCAGCGTCGGCGTATGCAAGCAGTCATGCTGGGATAAATCAGCAATGTTGGGGTGTACATCTGCTTTCCTCAGTTGAGTTCAGGAGTTTTTTCCCTATATTACGAAAATTTACACACGAGTTGGGTAGAAGTGTATAGAGCAAAATGAGTAATTCACAATTTTCATACTAATATTCAGTTTGCATATTTTCCCACGTTGTATTACATTATTTGCTCAGAAGCAAGCGCATCCTCGCCCTTGGTCGGCTCTAGCGTCCAGGACTTTGATGCAGCCGCAGCGATGGCAGAGGAACGTACCAATGTAAGAGAGAAGGACGAAGGATTTGTGATGGGCTTCCGTCGTATTCTAGTCCAGGATTTGTAATCGATACTTTTCCTCTCTGGGAAATATGGACTAACACTGATGGTCAGCACATTGAACGAATTCGATGGCGAAAAATAACCTCAGCGTATCACGCGTTACTCGAGAGGTGTGATTATACTAGTAGTCACTGAAATGGTGTCATGAAAATGTCTGTGTGATTTCTACTCCTATCAAAATATCTCTGCGGTGAAGCAGTAGATCATGTCACAAAACATGTACATGTGACTCGTTCGTGAATCGTCCAGCGTGTCACCAGTTACGAGTAGGATGCAAGTGATGGAATGGTACCTTTTCTCACTCCCTCATTGTCCTTCTCAAATTCTGGTATAGATCTACGTCGCTCACACGTTCGCCATCTCAGAAACTAGATCGTTACTTTGGTCTAGTCTGCAGCATGTACTTCGGCTCTGATGGCAGCTCGGGGTCGAAGAACCCCTTCAAAGACCTTTGCTATCGGTAAGACACAACCATCGAGCGTGAGACCGGATTAGATTTTCAGAATCAATGAGAACACTTGAGAGTAGATTGTCACAGGTACGTTATGGATGATCCGGACGAGTCGGAAGATCCTCCAGGGAAGGAATTCGACAGAGCTTTGCTTAACCTGTATAAGCAGAAATCGAAGCTACCGACAGGGAGGTCTAGACTGCCCAACCGGGATTACAATCGCTCCTTCTCGACTCTAGCTCTCCTCACATCAGCGTGCCGCCAACCTGAGGTCAGCAGCCATTAATTTATCGCTGTTGGTGGGAATCTATATCGATCAGGTGATCGATTGTTGGGGTCCTTACGAGATTGCAGTCTTCGAGACAGCACTGGCTCGATATGGATTGAACGGTTGGCGCGAGATTGGCCGAGAAATTGGCACGAAGACTGCTGGTGAATGCGAGGTGGGTCTGCTTGATCTCAATAGCATCGTCCTAACAATGCGACTTGATGTACACGACCGTGGCGTAGTAGTGCTTGTTGCCTCGTATATGCACAAAGTGATAACATAATGTGAATGTGTCTTGGCCCCGCTCTATGAAGGATACGGCAAGTCAATAGGACTGTCATTGTATCACACAATTTGTGTGGTAAAAGATAGCTCCATGCAAAATCCTCTGACAGTGACTCGCATAAAGTGAATCGTATGTGCTGTCTTGCGCAGTTTATTGTTTCTCAGGAATTCTTCCGCCGAGTGTATTCAAGGACAGAGCGTGGCCGCATCTTTACTGAGATGCTGCTTGTGTCGGAGAATAGCAACACTATTACCACTAATTCGACGCCTCAGTCAACAGAAGAGTCTGATTCTATACCGCAAACACCTAGGGTCAGTGGCGAGACTGCTAAATCAACGGATAAGAGCTCTTAGGGTTCTACGTCCCTGTAAGATTCCTATTTCGTCCGGTATGAGTCGGGTTGATTTAGTGTGGGAGTATCCGAGATACGTGTAGCAATCTAGGGGTTGGGCGTCAGAAAAAAAGGCAGTACGTCCTCGATATGTCCTTTCGGGCCTGTTTAGCAAAGAGGCACTGGAACCGTTCCAGCGGAGTGGTTGTTGAATGATTGGTCCTGCTTTTGGATTGGCATTCGTGAGTTTTTGCCATCTGCGGAAAATAGTGATGTGGATATAGATTAGGAAGTGAGAGTCATCGTGCTTTCTATCGCATCATACTTGGCAAGCTCGTCATGGTTCTGCCACTGATTGGTTCATCATTACTCCGATATGTTGGGAATTAGCTTCTCAGAAACTGCGCTTATTAGAAAACGTCGTCAATGACGACTCGTCATGCCATATCATTCATATGTTGGAGTGTAACTCATATGAAGTCAACGCAGAATCTTCGACCGGGCTTTGGAATTAGTCTGTACGCCGGTACACAGTATTTGGATCCTACGGACTATCCAAGATCCTACGGAGCGACTGCGTGCTGAACTTCCCGATGCAGAACTCACTGTGGGCACGGAAGGCTTGGAAACGAACTATAGAGCCCTAGGGTTGTAAACTTGAAAATGCCACACATTCTGAACATGGATTGATCCTGGCCTTGCCCCATTGCAGCGAACCAGTTTTGGGGAGTTCGTCAAGGATGGTGAGAAGCGTGTCGTCGTGAGGGAGTACCCGAAGTTGGCTCCTGCAAGCTTCACCCGAGAGCTTCAAAGATTAGCCTAGTGCGATCAATTCCGCTGTTAGTAAGATCAATTCTGTCGGCTGGGGCGGCTATGCCACCACTACCCCAAGATATGCCTTGGTACAATCAATTTCGCTGCTAGTAAGATCAATTCTGTCGGCTGGGGCGGCTATGCCACCACCACCCCAAGATATGCCTTGGTACAATCAATTTCGCTGTTAGTGAGATCAATTCTGTCGGCTGGGGCGGCTATGCCACCACCACCCCAAGATATGCCTTGGTACAATCAATTTCGCTGTTAGTAAGATCAATTCAGTCGGACGGGGCCGCTATGCCACCACCACCACCAGTTTAACCACCGAGAAAATTTTCCAACTCCAATTATTCCAACTAGAGCACAACAGGAACCCCATCACGATGAGGAGGAACATTCTCATGGCACATGATGTCAACTGTTTCACTGTGGCACGCAGTCAGAGATCCCCGGCCTGCGTCGGCTTCTCGTTTTAGATCTCCGTTTACCAGCTCCTCGTTTACGACTCTCACGACTTCTGGTCTCCTCAGCCTCCGGAACACGATTGTTCTTACCGATACTGTCGCCGATATCAAGACCAAAGATGTTGCTGGTATCCTGTAATCGCGCCATGTCGGCTGTCAGTCGGGAAATCTCGGTATCCTGGTCTGCTTTCATGACCTACGCAACAGATAAAGTGAACGACACGGAACCACCCCTATGCATGAATGAGTTCAAATAGCACGGAAATGAGAGTACTTCAAAGCGCTTACCTCGAGCGTTCTGAGCTCGGACACGACGCGGTCATAGAGCGACTTCTCAACCTGATTGCTACCGATATCGGTACGTCCATCAGTTATGAGCAATTTCGCCAAAAATCGCACTCTACTCTTCAACAGCTCATTCTCCCGCGCCAATTCATGGACGCTTCGCTCGCCATCTGTTGGATTGTTCTCCTCTTCGGCTTCGTTTCGTTGCATCAATTCAGCGATTCTACAGTTAAGTGATTGCCTCAAAAGAGTATTCTGCTTCTGTAGATTGAGCATCTGATCCGACTTTGCCTTCAGACGCAGCTGCAAACAAGTACAAAGATCCTCGTTCTCCCTATTCATGGCGAAGGCAGACTGATAAGCACAGTTCAAATATGACACCGCCTCTTGCAGTTTCTCGAGTCGACAGTTATTCGTATGGTCCTTTTTAGACTGTTCCCAGTGTATGTCTTGGATCTCCCGTTCGGCTTTGAATTTCTCTGCGCGATACCTTGCTGTGCGCTGTTCTGCCTCGGTCAATTTCTTAATGGTTGCTTCGAGTTCTCCTTGTAATACTTGCAATTCTGTGGCTTGCGATGCAGACTGTCGTCGTGCTGCCTCAACTTCTTCTTTTACCCGGCGAGCCTTGTTGTCGAGCTCACTGCACTTCTCTTCAAGTTGATCTATCTCGTGGATCATTTTGCTCTCACGTCTCCTCGCATCTTGCAATTCACGTTGAAGAACATTGAGCGGATGGCCTGAATCAAAAAGAGTAGCGGACTGGCGATACTCCTCAATATCCTAGTATAGTATCGCCTGCTGGCCCAATGGATAAGGCGCACCTCTAAGGTGGAGATCGGGTCGATCCCCGGGTAGGGTATTAGTTTAATACCGAATTCCGTCAGCTGATGATCTACTCTTACCTCGGTTCCCGACTCGATCGTACGCAATCCTTTTGCGACATCAATCGCAAATGAATTAGCTGAGGTCGAAGCAGCTGAGCTCATGCTCGTAGTTGCTAGATAGTCATATACGAGACTGACAAAAGGCGATCTCCCTCCGATCGACTGCAACCTTCGATTGCAATCGTTGATATACTCGTCGCCAGTAACAGCCTCCCACCCACTGCATTGAACACAACTTAGGGCAGCGTACAGAAACCACATTCATAACACATTGTCCACCTAATCACACTCACAACGTACGTGTGAATTGGCTGCGTCCTTCCGTCGACTCTTGCTGCCGTTCCTTCGCTTTCCGCTTCTGTTGTCTATAATGACGCCTGATGAGATAACATCATTCGCTTGAACGCTTCTGTTCTCGCGCCCCACCGCCTAATAGTTTTGAACCTTGCACCACGATCTCGACGGCAAAACACAGCTAGTGGTAACTCGGGTTTGGCTACCACATGCACTTGAGACAACGCAGTCGGTATGATGTGAGGCATTGGGCTCCTGACCGCCATACGAAGGAAAGAAGGTAACAACATCTAAACTCCAGACAAAGCCAAACTGACCGGAAGAGAACCACCGGAACGGGATGCAATGTGAAACTACCCCGTCCGAGGGTCAAACCCGAAGTCCCCATATTGGCAGAGTAGCGCCTCATCCATTAGGCCAGCAGGACCACACGAAAATCCAGTGACGACAATGTTGATGAGCAACACCATTCGATAGTGACTAGAAAGTGCCGACTCCCAGACAGTCATAGCGATCAAATTCAGCGTGCCGAATAAATGCCACAAGCTCGATAGTATGACTTCCCAGCGGCTTACCATCGGCCATGCCCTCTCCCATATTGAGAGAACACAAGCAACGCATGATATGAGATAGTTTATCGTTTCGATAGACGCCACTATATTTGGTCATAATCTCCACCTATGCTGCATACAATTAAATACTATCGTACACGCTTAAAAGCTGCGAGTGTGTGCAAGTCGTACAAGGGAGATGATACAGGACTCCAACCTCACTATTCGAGGCTCTACCGGGGACGACTCAAGTTCTGCTGGAGCCATCGATTTTGTTGTGCCCAGTACTGCTCTACTCGCAGCTTCTCACTTCTGGCCGCCTCTTCAGCTCTGCGTTGCTTATCGATGTTAGCGGAGCGAAGCATAGCATTTATCACCTGAAATCAACCGTTTATAGTAGGGAAATCCTACATAAAACGTCCAAGCGCATCGGAGTGAATATCGCAACTATCATCGTCCAACGGAATATTCCAACAACTACTTGTTCGCGAGCTGAACTGATGTGCTAAGACTGAGCACAATAATCCCAGCTCTCAGGCAACATCATATAAGAAACTTCTTCTGTGTAAAACTAAAACTGTTTCACCGCGCCACGAAATTCATTCCGTACCTCGTAAGGATTCCTATGCGCGCTCTCGGGCGCCTCTCCAGTTCGCAGCCGTTTCACATACTTGTCCTCCTCACACAAGGCCATCGGCGACGGGCATGTACTGGCGCTGCTAGTGCTACTCACAACGCTGGAGATCCCCGCAGCTAGTTCGCCGGGACCGTCCACGTCTCCTACCATGGGCAAGGTTCCAGGTTCGATCCCCGGTAGAGGCATTATTACCGAGTTTCCTTTTTCCCGGCCTGGTATCGTCCAGCTCCATCACAGCGCATGAAGTCCCCACTGCCATCTGCCACTCATCGGCTCTTCTATAATGATCATTTGCCATGGTCAAGGAGACAGCTCAACAAAAATCACACAAATATCCTGCACGCATGCACAGAATATCGGACATAAGCTTATCTTTGAGTAATATCAACATGATAACAATGTGAATCGATTGACACCAACGTTTTAGAAGCGTTCCGTAGTCTATATTCGTATTACTCTCGAATTGGAAGAAAGTCATCTCGAAAACCTACGTATGCATAACTGTTTGCTTCGCACTGTAAAAGATATGACAACGAAAGATCGCTAAGAATTTCGAACTCGAAGTTTTTTCATGATTTTCAAATTTCGAAATCTATTTCCGCCTCTCCCAAATTCAAATGGCAACTTCTGACACATTTAAAACGAGTGTTTCTAATAATCTCGAGATTGACATTTTTTCGATAATTTCTCTGTAATCTCATTTTTCGTTTTTCTTTTCTGTTAATCTCGATATTTTTCAAGTACAGATTCTCAAATTTTATATCAGAATTGTTTTTTTTTCAAAATTCTACTTGGCTGACATGAAGTCTAAACTGACGTTCAATCATTTCACGTGGAAGTAAAAAAGACGTAAAAACTCATCCACGACGACGTTCGAAACACACAGCCAACAGGGACCCATCTAACGTTGAGAGATGACGTTCCCTAGTGTTTGCTAACAATGGGGAAAATGTTTCAAATGTGATGACATTTATGCGGAAAACCGTTCGAAAAATGTGTTCCCAGCCATGTGTGAGTTCCCCCCGAGAGAACATTATAGGTCCCTGGCGCCAAACACAACATCCGAGGTCCTTTGAAGATTGCTAGGCTAGGCCCCTAGACTTTACATAGGGAAAATATGGAGTACGCTGCACGAGTTAGATATCTAACTTGGCAGTGGTTTAGCAATGCTAATAGATCGACGACATGCAAGGATAGAACCCACGGTCATTCGGTAGACAGCACGGAGTCCTTCCCAACTACACTATTTCAACCCACAAGCATTGACCGAGGCAATATATGTACGATAAAAATAATACAATGGTATGGTACGCAGTGTGAACTGCAAGAAAGACATCAACTCTGATGTCGATTAGAATATGCTCATAACGTACACCTTTCTGTTCATTCTTTGAATCCGTCACTGCGCCATGAAATTATACTATAGCAGAAGAAGCTCCAACTCACACAGCTTTATTGTACAACAAACATTCGGCGAAAATCCGCTAGGCCTGAAAGAAGATCAGCACGCATGCACATACGAAAAAGCTCAACTACACCCAACCTACCAAGTTAGAGACGACGTTTGAATCACCGCCGAGAGTTGCGGAAAAGTTGGTATCACTACGTATATGCAAATACACCAACAGTAAGTATATGATCACTCGGTTGAGTAGGGCTCGGCAACGCCGTCTCAGCGCTGAGTTCCTCATAGCTGTATGTATTAGACACTGCGAGGCCTCTCAGAGAGTTTTGTGTGAAGCATATATAGTCCAACGTTCCTAAAAATGACATCTGCAGGGATCGAACCAGGGACCTTTCGATTACCTTGGAACTTCTGCGTGTAGTTTGTATAAGTAGCTTCACTGTCAACTACAGCCGGGTATATCGAACGCAGAGGCAGCGAGTGATGCATCTGGTTCAGCGGTGGGAGAAT